CAGTTAATATAATTCACCACTCTGCTAAATTAATCACCAATCATTTGTTGATCCGAATAAAGGCTAAAACACGTCTGAAAGATATCCAATCCTGAGTTATAAAAACGTCTTCCTGTATTGAGTCTAGATCTACACTTTCTTAACATGATCAAACTGCACACGTGCACACATACACACATATTCGTTCCAGCATCGTGCCATGGAATGCTGTTTTGCGGTAAAACCCCAGAAGAGAACTATTTCTCTGAAAGTCAGTACCAGGTCAAGGGTCCCCATTATTATCAATGTTGTTTAAAATTGTTCCAGAAGTAACATACAACTGTACACAATTGTACTTCAATTTTTAAAATATCATATTGTAAAATAAATACATAAATAAATAAAAAATTATAATTTAAAAAATGTTCCAGAAGTACTAGTCAAAGGAAATAAAATGACAAGAAAAGAGCTGTAAGTAGTGGAAAGAAGGAGGCAACACTTTTATTATTTGCAAATGATACGATGTGATTTGATATAATGATGAGATGAGATGATATAATTTGCAGATTGATATGATATGATATGACCTGGGAAACCCCATGAGAGTTCGATAAAATCTTACTTAAAAGCAAAAGAAATAGGTGGCCACTCACTAAAGAAAAAATTAATAGTGTTTTCTCATACAAACATAAGAGAGAGTGGGGGGAAGAGGGGAGGCAACACTTAATTTGTTCAACACACTTTTTCTTGAGAGCCTTTAGTGCTGAGAGCCGGAGACACAGATGTTCTCATTCAGGGTCTTGTTCTCCGAGAAGCTGCCCTGCCATTAGAGGGAAGACGCAAAACAGAAATATAAATGGACAAATAAAGACTTTCAGACGGTGGCAAGGGCCGTGATGGAATTCAAGAGGGGAAAGTGATGGGACCCTGGAATTAGAGAGACAGGGGCCGGTGGTTGGGGGAGCCTCCTGTGACCCAGAGGGGTTTGGGATGGCGTCTCCTAGGAGGTAAGATCTGAGCTGGGACAGGAGGAGTGAGATGCAGCTCACCAGCAAAGAGCCAGGGGGAGGAGCCTGAGGGAAGGAGCCTGAGGGAAGGAGCTGGGCGCCTTAGAGGGGCGGTGAGGAGGCAGGTGGGAGGGCAGGGCCTGGGCAGCATCACACAGAAGGCCCACCTGCAGGAGACGGAGACGTGCTCAGGGCTTCAAGGGGCAGCGCTGCTGATGGGACTTAATGTACCGTGGAAACAGGTAACTCCAGCGGATACGCAGAGACGGGACTGCAGGACGTGTGGGTGGAGAGAGTCCTCTCCCACCCAGGTGAGGGGGCACGGGGGGCTGGCAATCGGGAAGCGAGTCGGTTTGACACATATTCCAGATTCGGGAAGAACCGCCAGGGCTCCAACAGATTGATGTGGGAGATGAGTAGGAGGAGAAACGGGTGTAACCCGGAGATTCCGTTCACAACAGAAAACAAACAAAAACGGGAAATGTCTAAAAATAAATTAGACAAGAAACATCCAAAACCTATGTGAAGAAAACGATAAAAATCTGCCGAGGGATCACTGAAAAAAGGAAAGCAGATCTGAAAGCGGGGACACTTAGAGAGGGAAACACGGCAGCCGTTAAAATCGCTTCTCCCCTCGGCCAGCCCAACACGACTTTTCTTTTTTTTGACGTGACAAAATGACACCAAGTTCATCCAGAAGCGTGAACAGTTATGCTGCGAATAGCCGCTGGGAGAGAAAACAGAGTCACGGCAGAAAACAGTCTCTACCAGCTACAAAAACGCAAATAAAATGACAGCGACGAGGGGACGGGTGTAGCTCAAGGGGTAGAGCGTGCACTTGTTTACACAGAAGGTCCTGGGTTCAATCCCCAGTACCTCCTCTAAAGACGAATAAATGAATAAACCTCCTACCACCAAAAAAATAAAATAAAATAAAATGGGGGGGGGGGGACAACAGTAATGAAAACGGGGAGACACTGTTCTGTCAAAGGACCCAGCGGGCAGTGAAGAAACAGATGGACATATATGCAAATATTTTCTATATTATGAAAGTGGCAAATCCATGCAGAAAAGTTGGACTAAAAACATATTGTTGGGCTAGTCGACCAGCCCTTTGAAAAGATGAAGCCGAATCACTCTTTCTCTCCTCACCCAGATAAATTCAAATGAATCAAGGATATAAAGGGGAAGAAATGAACACCTTGTAATCTTGGAGTGAGGAGGACTTTCTTAGGCATATTACGAATATTTGAATCCAGGTGAGGAATAAGGGCCAACTCAGACTCCAGAAATAGAAACAATTGTTTGTGTGCTGAAGAAGCAAGCAAGCAAAGGAAACCCCCAAACGTAATAAAATTGAACTCATTCAGTTCTGGGGGTTTAAATCCTATTTGCTCCTGACTTTCGAAGGATATATCCAGCCAAATATTTCCACACTGTTGTGGGTTGCAGTGTGTCCCTTCAAAAGATCTGCTCGAGTCCTAACCCCAGGAACCTTTGAACATGACCGTATTTGGAAATAAGACCCTTGCAGGTGTAATCAAATTAGGAATGAGGTCATACTGGATGGAGGGGGGAGCCTAATTCAATAACTGGTGTCCTTATAAGAAGCGGAAAATTTAGACACAGACACACAAAAGGAAGCCAGCCCGTGAAGACAGAGGTAGAACTTGGTGTGATGAAGCTATCATCTAAATGCCAAGGATTGCTGGAAGCTACCAGAAGCCAGGAGAGAGGCACGGGGCAAATTGTTCCCTATGGCTCTCTCAACACCTTGACCGTGAACTTCTGGCCTCCAGCACTGTAAGAGAGAAAACTGCTGCTGTTTCAAGCCCCCTGATGTGTAATGTGTAATTTGTTATTGCAGCTCTAAGAAACTAAAAGACACATGAATGTCTAATATTAGGGCACATTGAATGTAACTTTGTTAGAACAAAACTCTTCCTCAGTTACATATTGACACATACATAAATACAAAATTGGGAATAACATACATCAAGCAGTAACCGTGGTTAACTCTGGAGAGTCAGAATGAAAGGACTTGTGCTTTATCTGTATTTGTATGGTCTGAACATTTCACAAACTGCATGTATTGCTTTTATAATAGAATGAAAGTTTCCCAGAAAGAAAAGGTACAGTGAAAGCCTTCCGTAATTCCATCAGCGGAATCCCAAACCTTCAACTGTATGAAATGAAAGGTCGTGGTGTCGGGGGTGACCGTGGGCAGCTAGCCAGCCCAGAGCGCCAGGTGTCCGGCTGCTCATTTCCAGACCCATCTTGGTCCCAGTCTGGCCTTGTGGCCGTGATGCTGGTTGTCTGTGCTGGTTAAATATCCCTGGGGTTGATTCCAGGTCTAGGGGCTGGCTAGGATTCCTGGGATCGTGGCTCCCTTCCCAGAATCTCCCAGTTACTTGGCATCCTGTTTCACGGGTCCAGCTGGGGAGACTGGGCTTCAGGAATTTGGCCAACGCAGAGATCTGGCCTCTACCTCTCGCCTCCCCAGACTGCACGGCTGCTGCTGCCTGTCTGCCTGGCTTCCCAGTCCCTCTCCAGAACGGTATGCCCCATGGTCTTAAGAACTTCAGCCTCTCCCTTTTGGGAACTCGGAATCATAAAAGTCAGGGACCACGAGCCAATCTCAGTGCACATCAGAGTTTGAATTT